ATATATATATATATAATTTTCAAAAAAAACAAAAACATCTGTGTGCAGGAGGGGTTCCTTATTGCACTTTAAACAAGGAAGTATTTAGTTCCCTGGAGAACAAAATATAGTCTGCACTGACTCATTTTGAAGACTGGAGTTCCCTCCAAGGAGGTGTTGGGGAGGAAAATGGATGGTCTATTTATCAAATGCCTCCTGACACTCAGGGGCCACCACACCCCTGTGATTTGCATTCATCAGCCCAAAATCCCCACCAGGGAGGTGCTATTCTTCCCCTACTCTACAGACAGGAAATCTTCAGGTCTGCTCTGTTCTCCTCAGGGCCCCAGGAGCAGCACTGAGAGCTCACAGGCTGGAGGCCGAGCCTCAGCACCCTGGATGCAGGCCTCCTCCACCTGCAGAGCCATGGGAGAAGCCTGAAGTGGAGGAGGTCCTGGAGTCTGGGCCCAGGACCATCAGCAGGAGGTACCTGAACTCCTTGAAAAACAAGATATCCAGTGGGACCTGGAGGAAATCTTGCCTGCCTGGGACCAGCCCTGAGCCCGGGACGCAGGTGCCTGAGGGCTGGGGTAGAAATGGGAAGCTGGGGGGCCCCTTCATCCTCCCCCAAAATTCTCCTCCAGCCAGGGACAGCACTTCCCCAGGAGGGGGTCTTGTATGACTAGCTATCAGCTGGAAACTAGATTCTCCCTGCTTAATGGCCTTTTATTAAGTATCTACTATGTACCCCACACTGGCATTATTTCATGTACCCTGCACTGAAGAAGTAAGTCTTTCAGGTAAGGAAATTGAAACCCAGACAACTTAAGGACTTGGTCCAAGGCCACACAGCTTGGAACAGTCTGCATCTTGTGAACCTGGTACCCTTCCCAGGTGTGGCCTCAGTTTACCCACTGAGAGAGGTAACAATTCCAAATAGAAATAGAGGTCAGTGGTAATTCCTGACCTTAGACTGGTCCGGGGCAGGTCACTTTCCATCTCTGGGTGTCAGTTTCCTTGTCTGTGGAGTTCAGTGTCTAGGCTGCATGATACTGTGCACCCAGGAGCCAGACAGCCAGGGTTCACGTCCCAGCTGCTCTACTTGCTAACTGGGTGACCTTGGTCAAGTCACTCTTGTATCCTAAAGTTTCTCATTTGTAAGATGGGATGGTGATCATAGTGGTATGTTTTGGTTGTTAATTGTTGCATAACAAACCACCCCAAAACACAGTGGCTGAATACAATTTATAATTTCTTACAGCTGTGTAGGTTGACTGGAATGCTATTGGGTAGTTTTCTATTGGTTTGACTTGGGGTTTGTCTTAGCTGGGGCGGTCATAACAAAATGCCAGCCAGGTGACTTAAACAACAGACCTTTATTTCCTTGCAGTTCTGGACACTGGAAATCCAAGATCAGGGTGCTGGCAGGCTTAGTTTCTGGTTAAGCCTCTCCCGGCATACAGACGGCCTTTCTGGGTACATGTGTTCTCATGGTGCCTCTCCCTCCTCTTATGAGGACACCAGTCCTAGGATTAAGACCCCACCCTAGGACTTCAGGGACACTCAGTTACTCCTCAAAGGCCCCATCTCCAAATGCAGCCCTCCTGCGGGTTTGGGCTTCAGCATGGATGGGAGGGAATGATTCAGTCATCAACAGGGTCTCTCACGTGGCTGCAGGCAGATGTGGGGTTGGGGCTGGAATGTCCAAGCTGGTTCTGCTCCCCAGCCTGCTGTCTGGGCAGGGACAGTGGGAAAGCTGGGCTCAGCTGGGGTATGGGTGTGACTGGGCTCCTGGCTCTCTGTCCGTGTAGTCTCAGGGCCTCCTCTCCGTGTGGCCTCTCCATCAGGGAAGCCAGGCCTCCGGATGTGGTGGTCCAGGGCTTCCAAGCAAGCACAAGTAGAAGCTTCTGGGCCTCTGAACTGGCACAGGCCTTCTTTTGCCTCATTCTTTCAGTAAAAGCCATCCCTTCACCAGCCCAGATGCACCACAGGTGGGCATGGATGCCAGCACATCTCTGGAGGCTGCGCCCAAGGACCCCATCAGAGAAACCAAAACTGTCTCTCTCCTCCTCCAACTCCCCTGCAGGAGCCTGAGGAGAAGAGGATTGTCCAGGAGCTGCTGGAGACAGAGCAGGCCTACGTTGCACGCCTCCACCTGCTAGACCAGGCCAGTGGCCAGGACACGCTCCCCAAGCCCAGCACCCAGAGCTCCTTACCCACCCCTGCTCTGCTTTCTCACCCGCCTCACCACAGCTTAGAGTTAGGATCCAGGATCTGAGTCTAGGAGGCCTTGGTCCTTTAATCCCAGTGGCTGAAGTTGGGGCAGAAATCAGGATTTAGTCCATTAGCACCACACACTCTTCCACCCCTGGTGCCTGGGCTGGCTTGCATGTAGTGAAGTACCCGCCTGCCGGCCCCTCCAGGGCCCACACAGCACCCTCACCTGTCATTCCCACACTTGCCATCCTCGCCACCATACCTCCTTCACACTTCCTTAAGGAGCCCAAGGCGGAAGGGTTGAATCACTGAACATCAGCAGAGGGGTCTTGAGCCTGGCGAAGTCCAAGACCTCGACAGACACAAGATGGGCCCATTTACGACATTTGTCAACTGCTAGCCTTTCGCAAGTCCCTAAATCTTTAGGCCTTGGTTTGCACATCTGTAGAGTGGCCAGAACATGAGCTACCCTATCTTTTCCCAGGGTTGTTGTAAGGATGATGGGAGATAAGGAGGTGAAAGCATTCAGTAAACTCAGGGAGGGCTCCGGGGGCCTCCAAGATTGCCCATCCCCCTGGGTGTGTGGGCAGCCGCCTCTGTGCCACAGGCTAGTGACCCAGCACGGCTGCAGGTATTCTTCCAGGAGCTGCTGAGGGAGGCCCGCAGCAGCAAGGCCTTCCCGGAGGACGTGGTCAGACTTATCTTCTCCAACATCTCCTCCATCTACCAGTTCCACACACAGTTCTTCCTCCCAGAGCTGCAGCAGCGGCTGGATGACTGGTAAGGTCCCTGAGGCCCCCTGACCGCAGCCCCAGCCAGCTTGGGATAGAGCCCCCAGGGTGCTGTTTAGACCTCTGCCCTTGCTGTCTGGCCACGACAGTCCGGGCTTGGTCTGTCTGCAGCAAGTGGCTTGGATGGTTGGGCCCTGGGAGGCCACATGCACATGTGTGTACATGTGCGTGCATGCATGTGAGTGCGTGTGTGTGTCCCGAGGAAGGGGATGAACCAGGTCTTAGGAGGCAGTGCACACTGTTATCTGAGCAGGCATGAAGTGGTTATGAACACCTGTTTTGGCCCCTACACTGTGCTGGGCTTTTGGGGGGCCCAATTCATGGAAGAGAACAGCATTTGCCCTCAGGGGGCTCATAGTCTAAGGGAGGGTGAACCACACATGTAAGTATGAGGATGACATGCCCCCCATGCCTATAACCAGAGGCACAGCAGAAAGGCCATTTTGAGGGGTTCAGGGAGCCTGGCCTCACCTGTCCCTGCCCCAAGTCAAAAAAGGTCCTCAGGCTGAGGGTAGTACCAGGCTCCCCTCCTGCAGGACAGCCACGCCCCGCATCGGTGACGTGATCCAGAAACTGGCCCCCTTCCTGAAGATGTACAGTGAGTATGTCAAGAACTTTGAGCGAGCCGCCGAGCTGCTGGCCACCTGGACTGACAGGTCTCTGCCCTTCCAGGAGGTTATCAGCCGCATTCAGGTGAGGCAGGGGGCACCCCACGGTGCACAGTGGCTCAGTTTTCCCTGCCCCTCCTCCTGCTCCCCTCGCCCCCAGGGCACCTCTCTGCACTCTCATCTTGACACTCTTCCTCCCCCAATCCTCCCCAAGAGCAGTGAGGCCTCAGGCAGCCTGACGCTGCAGCATCACATGCTGGAACCTGTGCAGAGAATCCCACGCTACGAGCTGCTGCTCAAGGAGTACGTCCAGAAGCTGCCAGCCCAGGCCCCAGACCGGGCCGATGCCCAGAGTGAGGACACCCCCAAGGGCTCTAGGGGCTGGGGAGGCTGGGGCCACTCTCGTAGATTTACTGAACACCTGCTGAAGTGGTTTTGGTGAGCATGAACCATCAACACTGATCGTTGGCGTGTCAGAGACATTAGTCTTTACCATTAGCCATTTCTTACAGACACTACAGCTCAGGGAGGTAAGTGACTCAATCAAGCTCACGTAGCCAGAAGGAGCAGAGCTGGGGTTTGAAGCCATGCCTGTGTTATGTCAAAATCCATGCTCTTCCACTGCACCCTCTGGGTCTGGCTTGGTTTGGGGGACCCTCACAGAAGCCAAACACCTCAGCCCTGTCTTTGGGTGGCTTCCAGGCTCTCATTCTGGGTGGGAAGCGGTCCCCAGCATCCAGACACCCCATGTGCCAGGCGACATGGGCTGGGCTGCACTGGGGTGCTCTCGGCAGGCCCAAGGCCACTTTGTTGGCTCAAGGACCTCCTGCCTCAGTCACCAGGCCCAGACTTTGCAGGGGATAACACTGACCCTCCCGTCCCCCAGAAGCCCTCAACATGATCTTCTCAGCCGCTCAGCACTCCAACGCAGCCATCACAGAGATGGTGAGCAGCCCAGCCCTCGGGGCCGGGAGCAGCAGGCATCCCTAGGGGCCTTGTCACCTCCTCCCTGCAGCTCTTAGCCTTCCTGAACCTACCCAGGTCTCTCCATCTGCACATCTCCAATCCTGCCCCATGACACCTGGCTCCCTGCTGGCCTCTCCCTCAAACCCCACCCTGTCAGCACACGGCGAACCTTCCCAGTGTAGGGGGGCCTTGCCTGGCCTCTGCTGAAGGTGCACCCCCTGTCTCCAGGAGAGGCTGCAGGAACTCTGGGAGGTGTACCAGCGCTTGGGCCTCGAGGATGACATAGTAGACCCTTCTAACACTCTGCTCCGTGAAGGCCCCGTGCTCAAGATCTCCTTCCGCCGCAGTGACCCCATGGAGCGCTACCTTTTCTTGGTAGTGGGGTGCAGGGGTGCCACCCTGCACTGGGGAGGGAAGTCCATGGGCAGTCCTGGCACTGCAGGAGGGACAGGGAAAAGCCTGCTCCTCTGTCCTTTGCTTTGGACAAGTCACACGCTGCCTCCTCACCTCAAGGATTTCCAACTAATGGATTTCCCCAGACACGCCTTAGGAAGCAACAGAGTCAGAATTTGAACCTAGTCTATTTGGCTCCCAATCCTATGGTGTTAATCTGTGCTCTAGAGAGTATACAGCAGGAGGGACTTGGTCTAACTGCTAGGAAGAACTGCCCGGGTTTGCACTGAAAAGGCCAGGGAGTCTCCCGGAGGTCTGGAAACTAGTCCTGCCTAGAGGTCTGGAGTGGGGAGCTACAACCTCGTGTAAGCCCCTGACACCCTGAGTCCCCATGAGAAAGGCCTCGTAGGTTCCTGAAATCTGCTGTGGTCCCTGAATGCCCACAGGTAGGGCAAAGCTTCAGTGAGCATCCTAGTTGGACTGGGGGCTAGACAGCCCCTCCCTCATCACCCCTGGGATGTCCTGTGAGCTGGCCCAGAGTGTGGTGAGAGGGGAGGGAGATGCAGTGGTGCTCAGCCCACGCTAAGGGAAGCCCTGCCAGACCGCCCCTCCGGCCCTGCGCTCCGCTCACTCACGCCTGTGTCTCCTGCAGTTCAACAATATGCTGCTCTACTGTGTGCCCCGGGTCATCCAGGTGGGCGCCCACTTCCAGGTGAGGACCCGCATCGACGTGGCCGGGATGAAGGTGAGAGGACCCCCAACCACCACTGGGCTTCTCCCCAGGGTGGGACCCAGTATGAGAAGTCACAGGAAGGGCCACCCGGGCTCTCCTTCCAGGACCCAAGCCTGGCAGGTCCTGGGCCAACGTGGAGGTAGAAAAGCCTCGGCTGGAATCTCCAGCCCCCATAACTCTGGCCACTCTATGGGTCAGTGCCAGCCTCAGCCCGTCCTCACTGCTTGTCCTACCATCTATGCCAAGTGCTTCCCAACTTCAGCAGAGTACATGCATGAGTGTCCTGGGAGTCCTGTTAAAATGCAGGTTCTGATTCAGCAAATCTGGAGTGGGCCTGAGATGCTGCATTTCTAACCAGCTAACCTCACAGGTCCACAGGCCACACTTTGAGTAGGAATGGTCTACACTGTCATCTCAGCTGCTGGATTGTGTGTGTCCACATCAAGAAATGGCCACAAATGAGTGGGGCAGGGTCCATAATATGCCCACTGGCTAGGCGGTCACCATGGATTGGGCCTGTACCATTCCGTCAGAGCCTCATAACAGCCCCATGATGTCAGGGCTGTTATTATCCCCTGTAGTTTTTTCTTTTTAAAAATAATTCACATTGCTGTAAAAATATAGTAATACATATTCCAGAATCAAAGTATATGAAAAAATACACATAATGAAAAATCTCCTCCCCACTCCATCCCTAGCTCCCTTTCTTAAGGCAGCCTTGGCTTCTTGGGAGGCCTTCCAGAGGTAGTCTTTGCATTTACAAAATCATGCAAATATATTTATGGTTGCTTTCTTACTTTGGTTTCACATAAACAGTGAACTTTTTTTTCATCTACACTATTCTGCTTTTTTTACCTAGCCACATTCTGGACAGGGCATATGTGGGAACTCTGTATCATCCTCTCAAATTTGCATGGAACCTAAAGCTGCTCTAAAAAAATTTAAGTCTTTAAAAATTAAAGAAACCAAGGCCCAGAAAGGTTAAGTAACTTGGTTGGGGTCACACAGCAAATCCTGTTTTTAGTGATCAAACCGCGATTGAAGACAGGTATAACAGCTCAGATCCCCTGTACCTAATCACCATACTATACTGTCTCTTATTAAGGCTTCAACCCAAAGGGATAAAGCTTATGGTGGAATTTCAGGCATAGTAGAGGAAATGGTGGGCCCTGCCTGACTATGGCTCTCTGATTGCTCCTGAGTCCCAGTGTGTCATAAGGGCTGGGGCTAAAAGAAGCAGAGGTTGGGCCTGGTGTATTTTGGTACCCTCCCATCCCTCCATCCCCCCATTCCTTACCCCTGTGCTCCCCCTACCCCCACCCCCGTCTCTCAGGATCTGTCCTAGGAAGGAGCTGTAGGCAGGAGTTGAGGCAGGGTGCTCCCTCCTCTGGAGGCTCCCGGGCCTCTGACAAACTGCAGTAGGAGGGCCATGACCCTGTTCCTGACTGGGCTTGCCTGGCTCCTGGGGGCCTCGTCAAGGGCCTGGGGGTGGGGTGACAAAGGCAGTGGAGGTCATGGGCACTTTGGGGGGACTTACAGCCCATCCCCATGCCTGAGCTGACTAATGTGTTGTAGCAATTAGCCCTCCACCCTGGTGCATCCAGCTTTCCTTCCCAAAGTGGCCAGAAATGGCCCAGAGACCAGGGCATGTGCAGGCATGTATGTGTGAGAGCCTCAGTGGATGACACCGAGAAAATCAGGTTTAAGGAGAGTTACAGGCAATCAGAGAAATGGAGACAGGCAGCCCGGTCTTAGAACAGGCAGAGGACCAGGAATAGACAAACAGAAGCAGGGACTGACAGATAGAAAACCCAAGAAATACAGAAACCAAAACAGACTCATAACAAGAAAACACATAGACCCAGGGCTGAGAATGCCAGACCCTTAGGATGCACGTCAAGGGGTGGTAGGCCCAGTGCGTGCCAGATTCCTGGCACATGCCTGTCCCAGTGAGCATGTTCCCACAGGACGCGTCTGAAGCTCCAGTGGCTGCACAGCACCCTATGGCAAGGGCCTGGCAGGTGCAGAGCCCTCTACCTGCCCACGTCTGTGCAAGGAACCATTTTCTGGTCTGAACTTTGGAGGCAGGTCTGGGCTTTAATCTTCATGGCTCCTCCCGGCCTGTGACCTCCTGGCCTCCTCCTTCCTTGGTGTCAGGGAGGCCTAATTCTCAGCAGCTTATTTTCCCCAAGGTCTGATGTGGTCCTAATTTTGTACCATCTGTGCAGGGTAGGCAGAAGAAGGAAAGGGTGTGGGCCAGAGTCTCCCATATAACTGTGCAGGTTGTACACTGCATGAGCACACGTCCCCCAAGATGAGCACACGTCCCCCAAGATGAGCACACCTCCCCCAAGATGAGCACACCTCCCCTAAGATGAGCACACCTCATCCAGAGCAGAGAGCAGATTGTGTATTTATAATTCTCATTGTCCAGCAGGTGGCAGTCAAGCATCTTGTTCCAACAAAATCTGATTATTATGCCAGTTTGCCAACAGATGTCAGTAAAGTGTTTTGAGGAGGGGTGTCTTTTTCTAATTAGCACAATGGCACCGTACAGGCTAGGCTGGCGGAGGCCTGAACTGGCCCTACCTGGGGAGTGGTTGAGACTGGGCACAGCAAAGTTCTGGGAACTGTCCTTTGAAAACCTTTGTCCTGGCCCCCTGCAGAGGTGGTCCTGGACCCTCTCGGGTCAGGAGCTCCCACCCAGATGCCCTTTTTATTAAAGGCATCATTTTTCTTTCTACCCCTGGATTCCAAAACTTAAGTTTCTCTCCCCTCTCCCTCATCCAATTAGTCGTAGGGGGGTGGTTCATGCCAGATTTCCTGATTTTGTCCTCCTTCTAGAAACCTCTTCTCTCTCTCCAGGTGCAGGCAGGCTGGTATCACTCCCTACCACGCCTTTGGGCTACTGGTTTGTCCCACTGTCCTCAGATTCAGCCTTTGTTGCTTACATATAGCTGCTGGTGTGGCTTTCCCAAACACTTTTTCCCACATGAGCTTCTCCATTTATTAACCCTCGGAGCCTCTCATTGCCAAGGGTATCAAGTCCAAATCACATCAGGTCCCTTCTAGAGGGAACAGACTGGTTATGTGGGCCCTAGGCCTAATGTGAGGAGGATGTGCCCAGCATCAATACTCTCTGCGATGAGGTGGGCTGACCCGAAAGTGTGCAAGGGCCTGGTCACTGCGTGACAGGAAACCAGCAGAGGGGCTCAAATGTTAGGTGAATTCAATGATGACAAATTTCTTCCATGCTAAGGCTCCTGGGATCTAGGTATATGTCTTAGCTTCCCTTTGTGAGTCTCTGCACATTGCCTGGGGCAAGGATGAGCTTACAGAGCTCTGGGGGTGGAGTGGAAATACATGCTCTTCCCCCTTCCTCTTGGGGGCCAAAAACCTGAGTTTGAATTCTCATTCTGCTCTTTAGACGCTGTGTGGCCTCAGGCAAGTCTCTTGCCCTCTCTGAGTCTCCATTTCCTCATCTCCTAAATGAGAGTGAGATTTGCCTCCCAAGATAGCTGTGAAGATTTTCCTTTTTATTTTTCTATGGACATTTGTAAGCCGAGAAAATGGGACAATGAACCCCCATATACTCATCAGTAACAATTAACTCAAAGTCAGTCTTGTTTCCTCAGCATTCCCCTCTTAATCTACCCTTGCCACTGAATTGTTTAAGGATAGATCCCACAAACATAATCATTTCACCTGTAAATACTTCAGTACATCTCTGTAAGAAATAAGAACTCTTTTTTTTTTGTCCTGAAAGGTGACAAGGGTACTATGACCACATCTAACAAATTAATAATTATTATTTAATAACATTAAGATACTTTGGTTTTCCTTGACTGTCTCATAAATGTCTTCTCTCACAACTGATCTGTTTGAATTACTTGTGATAGGCATCTTACATCCCTTTTAGTCCATCTCCCACTTTTTTCGCATTTATTAATTGAAAAAAATCAGATCATCTCCCCGGTAGAGTTTCTCACAGCCTGGATTGTGCTGGCTGCACCCCTGTGGTTCATTCAACAAATTTCCTGGTCTCCCATGTTTTTTGCAAATTGATAAAAACCCAGAAGCCAGACCAGATTCAGCTTTGCAGGACTAGCTGGCAAGAGGTGCTCCCCTTGGGAGGCACATGGTGGCTGTGAAGTGTTAGGATGGAGCAGTGGGTCAGCAGTTGTGCCAAGTAAATGAGAATGTGTGGAGAGCCCTGAGCTCAGTGGCCGTCGCATAGGAAGTGTGCTCTGACTGGCCACTTTCCATCGTGACCTGTGGCATTTGGGAACCAGAGGACAGTGAAAGACAGGACTTGGGGGATCCGTTTGACCTATGAATTGAGCAATCAATTCCTTCCTTCACGTACAGGGAAGAGGGTCTTCTGGTAAGCCCTAGGTCTGCTCTTGACAAAGCTGTGTCCCCAAACTCAATTTGTGATGCAATTTACATTTTTGGTGACTCCTTTGTCAGTGTGACCCCTATGTCACACTGGGCCCACTTTGCTGCAAAAGTCTCATGAGCTGGAGGCCCATTTGCTTGGAGCCAGGCCAAGTTGTAACCTCATTTGTTTGACTCTGTGAGATTAGGGATGCAGCAAACAAGCTCCTCATTCCTGTTCCCCGAATTTGAATTGTCGCTGGGCACAGTTCACCTCAAGGATGAGTGGGCCTTTCCTTCCCACTCTTGAACAGGTGCGGGAGCTGACTGATGCCGAGTTCCCCCACTCCTTCCTGGTGTCTGGGAAGCAGCGCACCCTGGAGCTGCAAGCCCGGTAGGCGGGCCAGGGGGTGCTAGGGGGCGGGAACCTGGGAGGGGCTGCAGTCCTCAATACCTATGTTCACTTTCTGAGCAGGTCTCAGGAGGAAATGATTTCCTGGATGCAGGTATCAGAAAGCTACAGGGCCCCTGGGGTCCTGACCCTCGCCTACTGGGCTGACAGGGAGGGAGGGGCAGCGCACATGCCCAGCTGCTCCCCGCTCTTCGGGAGCTGCTCTGTGGTAGTCTGGCATCAGACCTGGGTTTGAATCTTGCTGCCTCTCACTGCCTAGCTGGGTGGCCTGGGGCAAGTCACTTACCATCCCTCAGCCTGTTTTCACATCTGTAATGGGGGGCTAATAGTTTCTCCCCACCCCAGTTAGCAGGTGGTGTTTAGAATCCAGTGCCTAGCCCAGTAGGCTTTCAGCAAGGTCTTTGAGCGTGTGGATGGCAGAGAGATAAGCAAGCCCTCCCTACTGTCCATCTAACCACCTCCCCTTGGCCCCACCAGGCCTGCCAAGCAGCCATTGACCAAATCGAGAGGCGGAATGAAACCTTCAAGGCCGCAGTCCAGGGCCCTGAGGGGGACACCCAGGATCAGGAGGTAAATGATGCCTCCACACCCCTCGCCTGAGCTGCCGGCCTCATATGGGGCTTATTCCATCTCTTTGCTCTACTCAAGCCAGCTTGGAGGGCGGGGACTCTGTCACACCAGAAGTGATTTGAAGGGATCAGGGAATCAGTGCCAAAGGTTCCCCCATCAGCAAAAAATCCCTTTGGGAGCCTCTATAGGCAACTCTCTGTAGGAAGGATTTGGCGTCTGTATAGATTTGGCCATGGGGAGCAGTGCAGGTTTGGGTTTGAAAGTGCCTGAGAAATGTAAGACCTAGGGAAGGTGGAAAGGGGTGCGGTGGGAGCTAAGGAGAGTGTGACTCGATTTCAAATCTGAGCTCTACGCTAGCTTGCTGGGAGTTTCTGCAGACTCGCTTGACCTCTCTGGGTCTGTTTCCTCATCTTTAAGATAGGAGTAATAGCAACTGACCTTCCATACGGTCTTTATCAATTCAGTCAGCTTCCTGTGGAAGCCCCTGGGAAGCCCAGCACACTAATCCCTGCCACAAGCAGGCAGGAGAGGGCCCCAGGGCGCCGGGATCATGAGGTGTCCGCTCTGCTGCCCAACAGCTGCAGTCCGAGGAACTGGGCCTCCGGGCACCGCAGTGGGTCCGGGACAAGATGGTGACCATGTGCATGCGCTGCCAGGAGCCCTTCAACGCCCTGACGCGCCGTCGTCATCACTGCCGGGCCTGCGGCTACGTGAGTAGCCCTGCCAGCACCCCTGCATCCCCCACCCCTCCTTGTCCTCTGCGCCCTCAGCTCAGGCCCTGCTCTCCTCTCCCTGCCACTCTGCCGGCTCCCACAAATGCAGAAATGGTGGGCGCTAACTGTGCCAGGTGTGTGAGTTACCTCGTTTGGACCTCCCGTGTGCACCTGTGAAGCTGGACTGCTATCATCCCATCCTAACAGATGGGACGTTAAGCGACTTGCTTAAGAACCTCCCCAAGACCCGAGTAGCTTACCTGCTTTCTCACCGCCATTGCCCAGGACCCCAGACCCTGCACCTGGAAATGGTCTCCAGTCCGAACCCCTGGTTCCTCTCGGGCCTTGCAGCCACCACCTCATCAACCCCATTCCTGGGCTGCCCACCCTTTGTCCTATCTTTGAGACCAACCTCGGCTAACTGTCCCCTCCTCTTCTTGGCAAGTCCTTAACATTCCAGCACCTGTCCAATTCCTTTGCTGACTCTGCCTGCCAAGTCTGGGCCTCAGTTTCCTCATCTGTACAATCGGGATTATAATACCTACCTCCAGGGTGGTAGTGAGGGCACAATAGAAAAAGGTGCACTCCCTTCCCTCTCCTTCTCTTCCTTTCCTCCTCTCTCCTCACTAGCTTAGGCAGGGCTCACTCAGGGGAGCAAGCCACCAGCTGACTGAGGAAGGAACTGGGTCCATTCCCCTCCCTCTTAGCTGCTCAGGCCCAGTTATGGGGGCAGATCTGGCTTTGTGTTTTAAGCGCCTGCTGTGCTAGAGCTGTTCTCCGTTGATATCACACTCCCCTCCATTTACTCTGCAAACAGAGAAGCCTTTACACCTCAGTCTTTAAAGACCTCCAAGGGACTGGAGGAGACCAACTGGGCAGGTTGGGGCCAGTTAGGGAGGTGTCCCCAGAATGTGTTAAACTGCAATCAGGACACAAAGTAAATTTCTAGGACTGGGAACACACCTATGTTCAGATATAAGTGATGAGTTACATCCCAGAACCAAATAGGAAGGATCTGGGGTTTAGCTACTGTTCTTGGTGATTCACATCTATAAATAAGAGTCAAGTTGTTTCATAACTTGCAACCTCACAAGTAGTTCTTAAAAAAATTATTAAAAATAGTTGAGAAATCACAAAGAAGCACGAAGAATAACATCCACGTACCTGCCTTCAGTGTACTTAGAAGAACTAAAATATTCTGACAGCTAAATGAAACGTATGATCCTTAATTGGATCCTGTCCAGGATAAACAAAACCAGCTACAGAGGTTGTTATTAGGGCCATGGGGGGATATTTTATTATGAGCCACAGATACATCATAATATTGTATTGATGCTAAATTTCTCAAGTGTGATCATGACATTTTGGATAGGCAGGAGAATGCCCTTGCTCTTTTGGGATACCAGCTACATATTTAAGGGTAAAGTGTCATAACTGTAATTTATATTAGGATTGTCCAAAAAAAAATACATAAATTTACACAGAAAGAAAGCAAATGTGGCAAAAATGTTAACAATTGGTGAGTTTGGTGGGGGTGGTATCATTGTATTATTCTGTCAATGTGTCTGTAGGTGTGAAATTTTCCAAAATAAATGGTAGAGGAGAAAATACACCCTAGAAATATTAGAAATCTTTAATCTCAAAACATAAAATATTCTCAAGATAGTTTGAAGCCCCCTGTGTGTAACTGTGCGAGACACCCTTGGCCCGATTTTGGAGTTTCTCATGCCTATACACACCTTTGTACTCTGTGAGTCATCCTTTCGGTGGTTTGGGTGCCCAGTTTCTGTCTCCCCACCTGCCAGACGGGAATCCTGGTGAGGGTGGAGCCGGCCCAAACCTTCTCCTGCAGATCCCTCCCAGGCTGCTTGCTTTCCCGGGCACACAGATGAGCTCCCTGATGAATAGCCCTCCCCCTCATCACTATCTCGTGCCCTCCATTTCTAACCCCACATCCTGGACTCACTGTGACACCCCAGTCTTCCTGGAAGGCCCATCCCACAGCACCTCCTGTTTCTCTGAGTCATGTGGTGCCTCTTTCGCGAGCATCTCCTGCGTGACCCATGGCAGCTTTCTTAGGGGCTTCTCTATGGCGGGCATAGAGTACACATGGGAGGTCTTCCTGGCAAAAAAAAGCCAGCCCATCATTTTTATGTCAGAATGCACCTGACTCTGGGATTGAATGGAATGCAAATTTGCAGAATCTTAAAGCTAAACTGTGGGACTTGAAAGACCTCTCCTATTTGTTGAGGGTCAGCTGCTGCCAGTGAGGGGTGTGGCCTCAGCAAATCACTGCCCCCTTGTCGTCAGGTGAGAATAAAAGCCCTAGTGCTGTTCATCTGGTGGGGTCAGTGGGTGAGTCTGGTGCTTTGGCAAAGAGGAGAGTACGCCCTTGGAGCAGTGAATCCAATGTGAAGGGTGTGTGCAGAACAAGACCCTGGGATCAACAGCTGCCCTCACAAAAGGGGCACCCAAAGGAGAGAGAAGCTGAGGCACCTGCAGCGGGGGCAGGAATCCAGCCCCCAGCTCTGGGAGCCCAGAGTGTCAGCTCTCCACCTCAGGCTGCCGGGCCTCTGCCAGCACAGGGGAATGCCTGTCGGCTGCCATTTCCCTCCCAAAGTTTGATCTTTCTTCCTCCTGTTTGCTCTCTCATGCTCCCACCTTCCCCCCGCATGGTGTAAAACCCCCCTCCCCTGCCTCATCTCAGGCCCCAAGGCCCTCCTCCCCATCCTGCCCCAGGTGGTGTGTGCCAGGTGCTCCGACTACCGCGCTGAGCTCAAATATGATGACAACAGGCCCAACCGAGTCTGCTTCGCCTGCTACACCTTTCTCACCGGAAACGTGCTCCCGGAGGACAGGGAGGACAAGAGAAGAGGCATCCTGGAGGTGAGGGCCACGTTCCTCCACTCAGGAAGGAGTGCAGGAGCCCCCCCTCCCAACACCCCCGGCCCGTTCCCCCGCAGCAGCTGGGCCTTCACCCACAGGGGCAGTCTGGGCTCCAGGCTGCCATCGGGCTCTCCCACCTCTCCTCTGCGTCCCCATCTGATCACTGCACTGCCTCTCTGGGCACTTCCTGCTCACATTCCCCTGCCCTGCCCTGTCCCCTGTGTCAGGAGATAGGAGAGCTGCTGTCGCTGATTTCCATTTTACAAGTGGGTTAACTGAGGCTCCAGGTCTGGGTCCCACTACTGGAGAGAGGCACACTGGAGGCTCCATTCTCACTGGCAGGGCGTTCAGGGACATATCCTGTGGAGACCCAGGCCCAGAGAAGCAACTTTCCCAGGGTCACACAGCAAGTTAGGGGTGGCTGTCTGCTGTCTGCCGGAAATGTCCCCCCTGATGCTCCGGGTGATGTGCTGAGCCACTCCGTGCCCCAGCACGTGCTCCCAGGCTGCTTTCTCCCTGCCAGGTGGCAGCTGCGCAGCCCTGGCTGTGTTCAGCTTTGTGCTACAATGTTTCCCAGCCCAGGTGCTTAGTCAGGGCAGGCTGTTTCACTGCCCCCTCCCCTTCCCTCCTTAAAGGACAAGTAAACATCCCACTGACCCTGGGAGGCAGGAAAAAAAACCCAGCCTAACCCAGTCGAGCACAGCTCCCAGGTTTCTAGCAGGCCCCTCTCCATGAACACCTGCTCACTTTCCAGTCCTCCCCAGTCTTTTAGGTCCAGCCCCTGCTCACGCCCTCCTGACCGCCTGCTGCTGGGAGAGGGCTCTGTCTGCCCCTTCTCAGGCCCCAGTTCTGCTCCCTAGGACAACTCCTGGGTGATAAGACCTCCCAGTTCAGGCTGGCTGGAATTTTGCTGCAGCTCTACCACTGGCCAACTGGTGTGACCACGGGCCCATGGTGGGACCTCTCTGAGCCTCAGGGACAAATAGTGCCCCCCGCCCCTTGCAGGGTTGTTATAAGGATTAGAAATAGTGCCTGTCAAGCTCTCCAGACCAATGTCTGTCACATAGCGGGTGCTCTGTTCCCTGACAGTCTGTCTCTCTGGTTTTAGAAAGGGTCCACAGTGGGGTCTGAGCAGAACCTAATGTGCAGCTTCCTGCAGCTCGTCGGGGACAAGTGGGGCAAGAGCGGCCCCCGGGGCTGGTGTGTGATCCCCCGGGATGACCCCCTTGTGCTCTATGTCTACGCTGCCCCTCAGGTAATGCCACCACGTGCCCCCTCCGCCACACACACAGTATTGTGTGGGGAGTGGGACTGGGGTGAGTACTATTGCCCCATATGTCGGATGAACAAACCAAGGCCCAATGAGGACATGATTCTCTTGAGTCTCAGGGTTATTGGCTTTCAGAGCTGGGCCCAGGCTCCAGGTCACAACTGCTTTGCCCTTAGGGGGCAGCTACTCTCTTCTCTGATGCTCCTCTGCCAGCCTGCCCCTCTTCGTGGGTGTTTTGGGGAGTGGGAGATGGGTGAGTGGCTCTTACCTTCAAAATGCCTGGGGGCTGAATGGGAGGTCAACGGCCCACCGCTTTCTTTTCCCCTCCCAGGACACGCGAGCTCACACCTCCATCCCACTGCTGGGCTACCAGGTGACCACTGGGCCCCAGGCAGACCCCTGGGTCTTCCAGCTGCAGCAGTCAGGCCAGCTCTACACCTTCCAGGCTGACAGCGAGGAGCTGAAGGGCCGCTGGGTGAAAGCTATGGAGCGTGCAGCTGGCGGCTGGAGCCCTGGGGAGCCCGACAGTGGGGACCTGTCTGACTGAGCCACCGCCAGCCACTTTCCTCCTTAGAGTCCAGCTCCCACAGCCTGACCCTGGGGCCTCAGTGGCCACCACCCCAACCTGAGCTTTCCAGGAACTGATTTCCAGTCATCTGTACCAAACTGTGTATCCCAACTTGGGATTCAGAAAACATAGGTCTGAAGGGGTGACCAAGTGTCCTGGTTTGCCCAGGGCTGAGGGAGTTCCTGGGACATGGGACTCTCAGTGCTAAAACTGGGCAAGTCCCAGGTAACCCAGGACTGTTGGCCACTGGTGTGGTTCTCAGCCTGGGCTGCACATAGTATCACCTGGGGAGCTTTAAAAAATCTTGGTGAAAAAATAAATACAAACTAAAAAAAAATTTTTTTAAATACCAATGCCTGTATCCATCATCAAAGACTTCTGAATTAGTTGGTCTGGGATGCGAGAGGCATGGGTATGTTTAACATGAGTCTAATGTGCAGCCTGAGCTACCTGGATGAAGAGAGCAAACAAACTACCAGTGGTTGAACACCTATCAAGAGCCAGGCATGACAGTAATAATAATAATAATAAATAAGCATCTACTGGGCCCGTCACTGTGCTAGGTGTTTTACGTGGATAATCTCATTTTTCCCCCTGGAAGTTATAATCCCCACTTTCCAGATGAGGACAGAGTCTTAGAGAGGTTTAGTCATTGCTGAAGATCACACAGCTAGCGCACTAAAATCAAAGCTCTTTCCATTGAGTAGTAGAGCAATAGGGCAAGCAGGGAGGGGAGGGGAGTGGGAGGGGAAAGTGAAGAAAAGGGGGAGGTTGGGGGTAGGGGGAGGGCAGGAGAACTTTTGTTTGACCTTCTGGCTGGTGGGTGAGGCTGCTTTCTCATAAGGGACCCCCAGGACGGGGCAGTGGCCTCAGCCTGGGCCCTGACACCCTAAGCTGCTTGCATCGGGCACAGCCACTGCTGAGCTCTGCCACCGAGAAAGGGAAAACAGACAAGTCATAGATGTTTGCCCCACTCCAGGCCTAGCAGTTTGCCTGCCCCTAACCTGAGGCTACCTCCCCGCTGCAGGATATTTTTAAAAGCTCAAGGAAACCTCAGTGGCACAGTCTCTGGGGACCAGGCTAGCCGTGAATTCATTCCTTCATTTAATAAATATTTGTTGAGCATCATCTGTGAACCAAATGCAGTTCCTATACTGGGGATACAGCAGCAAATGAGACAGTCAGAAATTTCTGCCTCTGGGGAATTTATATTCTCATTCAACAAAATAAGTGTGTAAAATCTAAAGCATATCAGATATGGTAAGTGCTTAGTGTGACAAACTATCCTGGACTTTACTAGTTTTAAAACCGGAAGTTTCAAGTCCCAGGAAACCCCTTAGTTCCAGGTAAACCAGGATGGTTGGTCACCCTAGGGGAAGAAAAGCAAAGCAAGAAACAGAGCAGAGGGAGAACAGCATGTGTGGTGTGTGTCAGTATTTTAAGAATCAAGGAAGGCCTCACTGAGATGTTGGTGTTTGAAAAACAACCTCAAGGAAAGAAGTAAGGGAGGGAGCCACACAGATATCTGGGGGAAGAGCATTCCAGGTGGAGGGAACAGCAAATGCAAAGGTCCTGGGGTGGGAGCCTGCCTGGTGCATGTGCAGAACAGGGAGGAGTGAAGTGGACGGAAAGCTGATCAGAGGAGAAGACAACAGATCATCTCTAAATTAAGGGTGGGAGACAGGAGGGCTGAGTGAGCAGGGGAGTCACTGGGAGGATCTCCTGCTCCTGTTGACACAGACTGAAAGGGGTGTGGGTGGGAGCAGGTAGAGGCCCCCGCAGCAATCCAAGGGGGAGAGGTGGTGGCTGCCGCAGGGCTGGAGCAGTGAGTGTGGTGAGAAGGGATGGGATACTGGGTTTATTTGGGAGGTAGGCTGGAGAAGATTCCCTTCCAGGTAGAGCGTGGTGTCAGAGAAGGAACCAAAGGCAACACTGAGGCCTCAGATCTTAGAATGTGGAGGGTGGCGCTGCCCATGTGAGGGGAGAAGGCTGGAAGGGGCAGGTGGGAAGCACAGCACACTGGGAGCTCTGGCGTGGGCAAGGGACAGCTGAGGCACCCACGCACGGCCCCACCAGCAGGTGGATGTCTGAGCTCAGGCACTGCATCTGGGCTGGGGTGTCAACTGGGGAGCTCTCACCCCAGAGACGGGTTTAAACATGTGAAACAGGAGAAGGAAGAAGTCCAAGGATGGAGCCCTGCACACCCCAACATTTTAGCCCTGCAGAAGCCAAAATTCTAAACTTGTGCATCCCAACCTTCTAACTACACACCCCAACCTTCCAAGCCTTGGGCCTACAGTTATAATTCCGAGAATTTACCTCAAGGAGACAGGACAGTGTGACAAGACTCAGGTGCATTGTTTATAGCATTCCTCCAAATCGGAAACTACATAAACGTTCATCCAAAAGAAACTCATTGAATATATTTATGCCCATCGAGAGGGAACTCTGTTCCCTGTTAAGGCTTGTATCTTTTTTTCTAACTTTTTTTTCATTGAAGTATAGTTGATGTATATACAATATTATATTGGTTTCAAGTATACAACATAGTGATTCAACAGTTATACACATTATTAAATCCTTGCCCCAAATATGATAGTTGCTGTCTGTCAACATAGAAAGATGTTACAGAGCCATTGACTATATTCTCCATGCAGCACTACCATCCCCAGGACCAGCTTGTATTATGACTGAGATTTTTGTGCCTCTTTATCCCCCTCACTGTCCCACACTAACCCCTTCCCCATCATAACCAGCAGTCACTTCTCACTGTCGATGAATTTACTGCTGTTTTGTTCATTTGGTTTTGTTTTTAGATTCCACATATAAGTGAAATCATATGGCATTTGTCTTTCTCCACCTGGCTTATTTCACTGAGCATAATACCCTAGAGGCCCATCTATGTTGTCGCAAATGGCAGGATTTCTTTCTTATGACTGAATAATATTCCATAGCGTATACATACCACATCTTTTTTGTCTATTCGTCTGTTGATGGACACTCTGGTTGCTTCCAAGGCTTATGTCTTAATGTGCTGACATGGGAAGATGCCTGTGATGTGTTAAGTGAGCAGTACTACAGAAGGAGTGACATTTTTAAACACTGTGTGTCAAGCACTGTACTGAGGCCTTGGTGGAGACTATTTCATTTAATTCTTAATAACATTAGAAGTCGATGCTACATTCAGATCCTCATTTTATAGATGAGGAAACAGAGGTGTCCATGGTTGGGCAACTTGCTTATGGTGACATAACATGGGACAGAAGAGGCAGCATTCCAGCCCGCTATGCTGTGGAACATCCCAGTTCTGCTTGGATGAAGACATTTTACATCTGCACCATCTAAAGGGGTACCCAACACATTTAGGAGTGGTTGTCTCACTTTTTTTCTTTAGATTCCTCCACAGTATTTGAATTTTTTTCCCAATATCATGTATTACTTCTATTACCACAAGAACAATAGGGTTCCCATGTAAGGGGAAAGGGAAGGCGGGAACAAGGAAGCCTCAGCCGCCTTGGCTTTCTTCCCTGGGCCTGACCTGCCACTGCAGCGGGGCACGGGGCATCAGTGCCAGAGCCCAGAGGCTATGCACCCCAGGGCTGCTGGGAAACACTACCTGGAAGTTCCCAGTGGGAATGGGTTTGCTTATTCCACGAATGTGTGTGGCCACGTGGAAACGTGTAGGGACCAGGGGGTAAAGCAGAGCCTGAACCTGGCAGAACTCTGGGTTCCACCAGGAAGCCATGGACACTGAGATGGTGCTGTCCTTGATGCTTTTCTCCAGGGAGCTCAAAGGGGCCTGTGTGACATGGGGGAGCCCCTGACCTTCCCTGGCAGCAGCTCACCCCAGATTCGCTCACGTGATGACACTGTTGTGTCCCAGACTTGGGCTGCTCAGGCAGCAAAGACTAAGGGCTTCAGATTTTTACACTGAGGGTCCTTACTTCTAACAGGCTGGAGGGGCTCCGATCAGTCTGGCTGCTCTGGTGCCTACATGTGCCCATCCTAGAGGGGAAGCACAGGGGCTGGGAGGAAGGCTGGCAGATTCCAGGGCAGGGAAATCTCTGGAGACCCTGGTGGACCCTGAGTCAGGTGGAGACCTTACTTCTCCTACCTTCCCTCCCGGGAAGTCTCCCACGGTAGTGAGGAGCTGTCCTGATGCTGGCACGCTGGGGTCCGAGGAGTGGCATTCACCCATTCATTTGTTCGTTTGTTCATTTCTTCTTATAGTCATCATTGGTAGCCCTATTGAGTATCTCGCTGAGCACAGCACTCAGCACATGTCATCTTATTTCATTCCATAGCAGCCTTTGGTATCAGTTCCAGTGTCCACATTTTATAGATAAGGAAAGTGAAACCAAGCAAGGCTAAATGATTTGTCCATGACAAGTAATAATTTGTCACCTAGCCTACGAGTAATGAATCAGATTCAGACCCAGGCCCATCTGATTCCAAAGCCTGGCCTCTGCTGGCACTGGGAGGCAGTATCTGTCAGTGGTTAGTGGTCCGGACCATCACACAGCTCTGCCACGTACTGGCCATGGCTTGGGCAAGACTTCACTCTCTGCCAGGGTTTCCTCTCCTGTTAAAGGAGGATGGCCACAGTCCTACCTCCCTGGGGACCAAGGAGCAGTCAACCGAATGAATGTTTGTCCGGCACTGAGAACAGCAGCGACCACACAAGATGATCACAGGTGTTTGGAGTTACAGCTCTTCCATGCTGTGCTGTCTGCCTCCGTGTGCTGCAGTGCACATATTTATGGGGCATCTGGGGATGGAAAGTTGAATAAATCATAGTCACTGCTCTTAGGGAGGGAAGCTCAGTGTCTAGATCATTAGAATGATCTGAGAAGCTGGAAAAAACTCCCAGTGCCCAGGCTGCACCCCAAGCCCATTAGATCAGAACCCCTGATTTAGGCTGGGGCTGAGGTATCAGGATTTTAAAGCTTGATGGTGGTTCTGATGGACAGCCCCATCAGAAATGGCAGGACCTGTTCTCAAACCTGGGAGCCCTAGTTCTGGTCCCCAAGGGTTCCCAGGGTCTGAGTGGGGGTGTGGGAAATTGCCTTACTGGGGCACTAAAAGAATTAAATTTAATGAGGTATAATTTACATACAGTAAAATCTACTCTTTTATAGAATAGTTCTATGAGCTTTGGTCAAAGAGTCCAGCCATGGAACCACCACCACAATCAAGACACAGAACAGCTCCATTCCTCTAGAAGTTTCCCTATGCTGGTCCTTTGTAGTCACCCCCTCCCCTTACCCCTGGCCCCAGGCAGCCACTGATCTGCTCTCTGACCTATAGTTTTGTCTTTTCCAGGATGTCATGTACATACAATCATACGGTAGGT